AGGCTCCGGGGAGACCTTGTTGCAGCCTTCCTATATGCAACCTTATAAGCCCTTACTTAAAGGGGGCCTCTAAGAAAGCTGGAGGAGGACTTTCTACAAGGGCCTGTAGCGATAGGACAAGGGGTATGGTTTCAAACTAAAAGAAGGCAGATTCAGACTAGATCTAAGGAAGCAATTTTTCACAATGAGGGTGGTGAAACCCTGGTGCAGGTTGCCCAGAGAGGTGGTGGATGCCCCATCCCTGGAAATATCCCAGTCAGGTTGCATGGGGCTTTGAGCAACCTGGTCTAGTGGAAGGTGTCCCGGCCCATGGCAGAGGGCTTGGAGCTCTCTGATCTTTAAAGTCCCTTCCAACCCCACCCATTCTATGATTCTACATAAATATAGCATGTTTGTATTTTTCGCTTGTCTCCAGTTTACCGAAAAAATAAGGTGAATTTAATATGTGCAAACACGTATTTTGAAAGCGAGGACTTAGCACCTGAAAGCAGACAAATACTTACTACAAACAACCAGAAATATCTGCCCAATTCATTGAATAAGCCGACTTGCTGGCTCAACATTACCTTTTGGATATAAAGACTTACTGAACTTTGCTCTTGGTATTTAAAACCTTGAATTCAAATTAGAGCAACTGTGCTATGTGGGCTCTTAAATCATTTGCTTCTGTTACTCGATAAATCTGTGCAGCGGCACGCGGTGTGGTCACATTTCACTGGTTCTCACATCACCTCTGATTACACAAGCAAAAGTAAGTTAGAACTAATATATTTCAGCACATCCCCAAAGTCATCCTGTTTGTCCCTTAATTAGGTAACCGTCTTTTAATGTTTGTCTTATTCCTTTCTGTCCATGTTTTTCCTTAGTTTACCTCTGCCTTTTATCTGGGTTAGTTGTTAGCTGTGAAGCAGGGCCAGTGTTCCCATACTTGTCTGTACAGTGTCTAGCACACTGTGATCTTTCAGACAAGCTCTTCTTCAGTTATTCCTTGAGGCATCCAGGTATCCTTGGCTTTGCGCTTTGTGCCTGAAACAACAGCGCTGCGGCCGTAGCCTGCAGATGTGGAGCATGGCTGTTTGTCTCTGGGAGCAATGCCACGGTTTTCATCTTGCCTGGTAACTGTCAAGTGAAGGCTCAACATGTTGAGATGGATTTGAGGCTTTACCTTTCCAGCTGCGTGACTTTTTCATGATACTGCCTGCACACAGTCACCGTGAAGGAACTGTTCCTTCTCCTCCTGTCCAGAGGGCTTTTTGCAACGTGCTGTTCTGAGAATAAGACTCTTTAACCTTCTCTCTTAAGAAGCCTCTGAGCCATATGTTCCAAATGGCTCTGCTCTGCGTTGGTTAAGTTAGTGTCACTGGTTAGCGCATAAACTGGCTCAAGATAGTGGCATGATGAGACTTAACGTTCTTCTGTCAAATTTGTACTGTCCTAATTGCAACCTGTCTTTTAGACTGTTATGTGGAGAAGGAACATCTATTTTATTAATCCCAGCATGGACCAAGCCACCCCGCTTGTCTGTCTCCATACAGTTGTTGGACCTGTTAGAAATCAAAGCTGCAGGCTCTCCAAATTGCAGGGCTTTCCAGAAGTACTTGGCAATTCCTTCCTGCTCATGTGAAGTAGCTAATGCATATTATTTTTGTTTTGCTGATAAATAAAGATTGGTCATATTGCTTTGGGAGCACTTTTCCTTCCATCTCACTTATCTCTGCTTCACTGCCGAACTTGTACAGCTGTCAGTTTTCTGCTTTCTCTTATGGACAGCGTAAGCATAATGCACAGTCCAAGGGCTCAGAAGGATTTCTTTCTATGAAGTAGCACATGGAAGGCTGATTTTTTTTTTCTTTTTTTTGAAGGCTTTGGATGGTTTAAGCAAGTTGGTTTGCAAACTAGTTCCTTAAGTATACGGAGGGGATTTGTTTCCTAGCAGAATTTGTGTGGCTTATCTTTTTCTGCAAGTCTTGGGTAGCTTAAAATGGGTTTTGCCATCTTAGTGCACAATTAATTTGATGCAGTCTGAGTGATCTTCAAGAGTACTGGATTTTGCTAACTGTTCACAATGATAGCAGCTTAGTGTATTGTATGCCACTGTGTAGATACCAACTGCAAGTTCTGAAACAGGACTGTGTTTCTGGGTGGTATGGTAGGTTGCCAACAAATTGTGTGGTGTCCCTTTTATTACGCATCTTAGTACATATATGTAACTTGAAAACAATTATGTAGATTTCATATCTTCAGTATGGTTCTGATAAGCCCTTCTTGCCAATAAGTTTCACTTTTGTCTAGGCAATGACAGCTTTTTCTCTGTTTTTCAGTCTCCCAGAGTGAAAGAACCTGTACAGAATTCTGAGGTAAGTTCCCAAAATGGTGATTCCTAGTTATTGCTGTTGTTTCAAGGAATGTGTTTTTGTTAGGCTTTGAAAACAATATTGTGTGAAGTAGAAGCTAATATCTAGCTGGGCTCTGCTTGAAAGCCTCCCCCCTATCAAAGGAATCATTGGCTGTGTAATGCCAGGAGGTCTTCCTGAGGTAAGTTTGGTGTATATCTTTTCAGCTTTACTTGCTATGGCCAAAGTTAATATGTTATAAGATAATGAATTGGTCACAAGAATAATCTAAGCAAAACAATGGTGTTCCAATTTCCTCTTAAAAAGAAAAAAAAACCCAACCAAACAACAGAACACAACTTTAAAATGTCTGTCTTGCATAGTCTGATTCACTGGTTAGGAACCTATGCTCAGAACTGTGAAATAACTCCGTAGTATTTGATAGCAAACAAAACTTCAGTTGCAATTTATAGAGTGCCTTCAGTTCTGTCCTGTGTTTCTTACATTAGGAATATTAGTGTATATCTTATCTTTCAGTGATAGAGACTGCTTATCTTCTAGAGACTGTGCTATGTCTTGCTTTTTCCTACCTGTGTGGAAAGATAAACAGAGCTCTCTCCTAGAAATTAGTCTTGAGTTAGTCTGTCCTGTTCTTCATCTGTTTCCAAGGATTGATTATAAAGGGAGATCTTAGGAAAGACTACAGTTTTGACGCTGTAACTTGACATAAACTCTACGTTCAAAGAAAAAGTTTGAAAACCAGAATCCCTTTGGGGTTTGGGATTCCCCACTGTGGTACATCCCTTAATATATATTGTGATCTGGAGGTCTGCTGCCCAGGCTTTCAATATTCAGGGTGATTTATAGTTCCTACAACTGAGTGGAGTAAGTTGGAGGGCACACTGAAGAAGTGCCATCAAGCTTACAGTTCTTTGGCTACCATGCCAAAATCGATTTCTCTATTCTGAATAACATAAGAGGTAACAAAGGTTAAACTTTCATTAGGTCTTCTCTCCCACCTCAAATTAATTGCATGTGATTTTTTTTTTTTGCAAGAGACTAACTTACTTTAGTAACTCCAGTCCTAAACAGTCTTGTATGTTTTGAAGAACTTAAGCTCTGAATTCACTTTTCAGTTGAATATCCAGATTGTTGTGACTCTGACACTTGTTTTACGAATGAATAAATTGTCAATAGTTACCTTAATGCTTTGATAGGCTGTGTTCTCTGAAAGGAACTACAAGCCAAAGCAAAGTTGCTCTGTTGTGACTGTGTGGCTACTTGGAAATATAGGTAGGACTTGGATTCCAGGAAAGGGGGAAACTAAAGGATAGGGTGCTCTCGTCCAAGCTAGGATATGATATGTGTGCATCCAGCCTTGCTAGCTGCAGAGTGTAATTTTTGTCCAACATCCACAGTCATGCTGCTATCTTGGTTTCTTATCCTTTACGGGTGAGTAAAACTTGCAAATGTCAGGGCAGAAGGGGTCCTTGGACATAAAGAAACACTAAAGCCCTTGAACACCAACTTGACATCAGTGTTAGTGTTGTGGAGGCCTGGGAATGCCTTTGGTGTTGAACTTCTCAAAATGATTTGTGTGGCAAACAAGCAATCAAGCTTGTGCTTGAGTCAGAAGTCTTGATTTCCTTTTCTCATTAAAATGCCTTTTTGCTTGCAGCTATTCCCATCAGCTGAGCCTCCAGGTCCTTCACTCAATGCTCCAGCACAGGCACCTACTCAACTACCTCAGGCTGCAGGACAAGTACCTGCACAACCTCAAACTGCTGTACCTCCACCTAGTCAGGCTCTTCCAGCAGCCCCAGCAGCAGCCCAGGTAAGATCAGAAACCTTTCATACCAGTTTTCAACTTTTCATTTAGCTGTTCTCTTCCAGACATGCTAAAATGATCTGAAGCCATGTAGGTTGCTTGGCTGGAGTTGATTTAGTGCTGCTGCTTATGCAGAAGTGACGGCTGGCCTGGTGGCTTGCACAAGGAAGACAGTAAATGTGGATGCAGCAGTTTTTCATTCTTATTCTGTGGGTGAGCAGTGACTACTTATGCTGTTTAGGGAGCAGACTCTGGCTTGAGGCAAGGTTAATGGTAAGAAAAAAGGGGAGTCTTGTTTAAGTGGCAGCTGCTTGTTCCTGGTATTTAAGGTGCAGCGCAAACAGGTTGCAATGTGTGTCTCAGCATCACTGGCATCTATGAGATGAGAGAAAAATGAGAGCAAGAAAATAAAATGTGCAAGTTCTCTAGACTTCAGAAGAGAGACAGGAGGCCTAGGTTAAAACTGTCCTTTTAGCAGTCAAAAATTGTGGAGAAACTCCATCTTTGGGATGCTCTGAACCTTGTGGTACTTTCAAACACTTCCTTTTCTAGCAAAGAGGGGAGAATGGACCTTTGAGGGAATGTGAGAGCTTGACAGCTTTGTGTTTAGCTCTTAGCTACGTCACCGCAAAGCGTAGGATATAGGTCAGATAGGCAGGCATAGCAAAGACAGGAAAGAGCTCTGACTTGTGTTAAAAAGAGAAGAATGGCCAACCCAAATCATTACTGAGATACTTGGAACATGTCTAGTGGTTTGCTGGAGTGAAGCACTGCAGGGTTTGCCAGACTCCTGAATGATGGCACCTCTTTTTTATAAAAGACACTAATGTTCATACTTGTTGATGGGGAGAGGCTGTCACTGTTGGATGGGGCCAAGCTAGCATCACCCTTTGGCAGACCCAAGGGGAAGAGGCTTGGCAATGTTGGTCAGAAAAATAACGTAGCTTTACACCTTCCTAGAAATGTTTAATTATTTTTCTTTTAGAGAACGTAGAAAGGTACATATATCACTTTGCTGCAGTCAGCTCATGTTTCTGTTTACAAAACCGTTAAAGACAGTGCATTAGTCATTAACCAAAAATAGTGGAGTTGGGGTCTGACATATTCTTGGCTACATTAAAAGTAGGTTTAATACTTAAACCCCTTCAAATCTCTTGAAAAAAGGCCAGTGTTTAATCCCTGGATTTTATGCAGCAGTTGAAGCAGCAGGAGCAGTGAAGGCCAGGACTCTCGGTTCGGTAAATTGAAGTTGCGGTGTTGGCCTCAGTGACGGTGTTTTGATTTGCACTAGCAGAGCATCTTGCTCCCTGCCACTAGTGCCCAATAACTTATTTGTTGGTAGCTTGTCCTAAGGTGAACTTCATACCTTTGTGTCACTGTGTTCTTCTTTACAGCTCTCCTCTGGTTCTTGTAGCTCATCGGTTACTGTTTTGCAGACCTCTGGGCTTCTCTGTGAACCCTTCTTTGTTTTCACTGACCTGATAAAGCTTTCAACTTCAACAGAAACAAGATTGTGATCAGAAGCCCAGAGCTGTGTTGCTGGCACAAGAGCACTAACAGATGGAGTAAAATACTAGTCTTAAACCAAGGGTTATTTTTTTTTTCCTCTCATGAAAAAGCAAATGATCTAGATGGAAAAACTTGGTCAAGACTTAGAGGCTTAAATTACCAGCCTAGCATTGTGTCTGTTTTGTTACTGCAGATTTCAAATCTCTGCCTCAGCATGTGCAGTACAGATGACTTGTTCAGTGAAAGAGTGACTGACTTGTCTCTGTTTTGTTTGGATTTTTTGTGGAGCTTGATTAACAATTAGCCCTTTTCTGGCAGCATCACAAGTGCTATAAAGATGGGCACCTCCTGGATCTTTCCTATTGAAAATCTGCTGCTGACCAATATAAAATGCTTTGATTACATTTAAAAATGAAAATAGGAAGCAATAAAATTGCTGCTAGATGCTCTTAAAGCCTTTGATTTCACTAAAAAGTCATTGAGAATATATGCTAATCTACCAAGTAAATTATTTCTTAGGTATGCTTCACAATTGTATCAGTTTTTAAAATCAGATGTTTGGGGCAGGGATTAAAACACAGGAGGTCTTGAAGCTGTCATGAATACCCAAAAACCTTAAGTTTTGATGCAAAGCAGGCAGCCTTTTTTTTATTTAGCACTTCTTCTGAAGTCTCCTGCCATTTTGGCATTTCTCAAAGTTGTGTAGCTTTTACATTTTTCAAAACAACTGCAGAGAGAACCTCCTGGGTTACTATTTGGGTGTGAAGTTCTCCTGTTTCATTAGTCTGTCATCATCTTCACTGTAGTGTCATGATTCCAATGATGAGTTAAACTTTTATTTGTATTTATAGTTGATCAAGGTTATCTCTAGTTTTAAAACCAGAGACAGGAAGTGGTAATCTGCTTTAAAATGATGTAATCCTATTGCAGGCCCCACCTGCCCCTGCTGCAGCTCCGGTACAGGAAGATACGAAAGTCCCCATCAGCCTTGTACTAAGGTTAAGGTAAGGACACAAAACTGACCTGTTCTGTCAAAATGAACCTATGTAGAGGGACACTGGAAGACTTCTAGTGATTATTGCCATCTGCCTTTTAATTAAAAGGATGGTGGTTATATGTTGTTTGTCAGCTTGGATTTCATCCACTCTTCTGAAACTGGAACCCAGAAAAGCAGTTTCTCATCCACTACTTCAGTTTGGCAAGAGCTGTAGTTTGAAGGAGGCTGTAAGATCTGTATAAATACTCCTTAACTGTAGTGGGGTGGGAAGGAGGAATTAGCTGGGTTCCCTAAAGGGGGTCAGGGATCCAGGGGTTCTGGCCTTGTGCTGGACCATCTTACTGTTGAGGCACAGCTTCAGACTTCAGCCAATTCTGAGTGAGAGGCTCTTACCCAATTCAAGGCATGGGTTCTAGTCTATGTCCCTAGAAATAGGCAGAAAAGGGATCGTAAGCGCATTCTACTATCATTCCAAATATTGACGTTTCTCATTTAAGGAACCTGCCTCTCGTCTCTGTAGGCATCTTAGTTGTTGACAGGCATTGGACTGGGACTTCTGAGCATCGTCTCCCAGTCACTCATGGACAGCTGCATAATATGTGTGCATCTGCAGTCAGTGAGTGCCTCTTTCCTCAGAGAGGAATGTGCTCCAAGGATGTATCTGCAGGAGTTTCTGAGACAGTGGAACAATGTGGCCGTATACCAGAGAGGTGGCCGCTCACTTATCACGGACTTCAGCCCACTCGGGCTCTGTCAAGTTGAGAGGCAGAGTGTGCTGAGAGCCCTGCTTCCAGACACACACCCAAGTGATTAGTCTCTGTCTTTTGAGAGGGATGGCTGCAATGAATTCAGTTCTCATCACAGACTGATTATTCAGTGACAGCACTTTCTTTTGGGCACCAATCAGTGCAATGAAATCGTCTCTTCTATATAAAATTCTCTTCTTTCCACAGGAATTCGAAAAAAGAGCTCAACGATATTCGATTTGAATTTACCCCAGGGAGAGGTGAGCTGGTTGGAAATTCCAGTGTGTGAAGGTGGTTTTGATGATGGGAAACTTTGTGTTTGGTGTTGTGCAGTTGTGCGCATGGAGACCTTGTATCAGTGTCTGTCCACAGTGCCTTCCTGAAGGAGTTTCTAGGGCTTGCCTTATGGTTGGGCTGATTGCTAGTGCTTGGAGCGCTGCTGTTGAGACCCTTTTTGTAAAACTATCATGAATATGACCAAAGTGCAGCCCTTCGATGAATTCCAGATCAGAGTTTGACAGCGTAGCTCCGAGCTGTCTTGGCTGCACATGGTGTACACCCATCTTTGTGAAAAACACTTTTGCTGTTTGGTTTATACAAGCTCTTTCAGGTTTCTGTGGGATGCCTTTGTCAGCTGGACTAATGCTATTATGTGGTGACTGGCTCTTGGGTTTCTCCCCAACAGATACTGCTGATGGTGTGTCTCAAGAGCTCATTTCAGCAGGTCTTGTTGATGGCAGAGATCTGGTAATAGGTAATTATGTATTATTTTTTTCTGCTCTAACCATTTCAGTCATTTTTTTGCATGTTTAAAATGACCTGGTTAGTGGGTACTAGGAGAGTTTTTTGTGGCCTTGGTTCTCTACACCAATGGCTCTACAAAACTGCCGTTAATTCTACATTTAGGCAACCCCCAGTCCACAAGAATATGATTTAGCTGAAAACATTATGAAGCACATGTTCCTTGTGATGCAAAATGAAGGCTAATCAATGCATTAGCTAAATCATTATCAACTGACATATATGCATTGCCAAATTGCTGCACAAGCCTGTACTGCTCACAGGTCCTGCGCAAGAGAGGTCTGGGACTGGAATCAGCCAGGCTTTTTTGTTTTAAGTAGGGCTGGGGAGGGAAGTATGAAGTGCACATGCACTGGGGCAGCAGCACGTGTTGTTTGGGGCTGAACAGCTAGATGAACCACTACCTCTAGCAACCGTTTGCTAAATAAATGTGTCCTTCTGTACAGCAGGTGAGACTTTTAAACTGTCAGCACAGCAAGCAAAACTGTTCCTTATACACAGGCTACAACATCTGGAAAGGCAGCTAGTGCAAAATTAACTGGATTTCCAGGTGCAGTTGAGCAGTTTATTACTACTAATCCTACCACTTCCAGGAAAAAAAAAGCTCCCTCCAAAAAAAGAAGCATAGTAACAAATGACAGCATTTTCACAGTTAGAAGCTTTAGATTTAAATAGACTTTAATTGGAATCTAAACTTTTTTATCATTTAAAAAAGTTCTAAGTTTGCTGAGTAATAGAAAGAGGCCTAATGAGTTTGGGATGTTTTTCTCTAGCCTGTCCTAATATTTGCCCATTTTCTTTGTGTGTGTGTGTGATTTCAGTTGCAGCTAATTTGCAGAAAATTGTGGAAGAGCCCCAGGCAAACAGATCCGTCACTTTCAAACTGGTATTTATTCCTGTTCCCTAATTGAACAAGTTCTCACTTGCAAAGAGAAGGCATTGCATATAGATGCCTGTGATCTCTCCTGTAGGCATCTAATGCATGCATTCTAAATCCCCCCTTCTTTCCCAAAGCTTCCTACTGGTTGTCTAGCAGTAGGCAATGCAGGCTCCCCGCTTGTGTTCTCTGATCAGTACCTGGGTTAAATAACTGTGTGAGATGATGTGCTAGCACAGACATTCCCTTATCCTGGTTAACAAGCGTATAAAAATGTTAAAAAATGGTATTTTCTGGACACTTGCCCAGAAAGGGCAGAAATACTTCAGGGCAGGTAAGTGGGCTAAGCAATGCCATGGCCTCCTTTCTTGGTGGAGGATAATGGGGAGGGTCCAGATACATTGTCTCTGAGGAGGAAATGGTGGGGGGAAGAAAAGAGCCAAAACTAAGATAAGATAGGCTAGGAGAGGAAAAAAGAACAGCAGATGAATCCTTCAGAGGTGGTGAAATTCAGAGCCACTTAATAGTGGCAAAGTGGAGGTATAGCCTGTTTATTGGTAGTGAAGCAGTAAGCACCACTATTTTTGACTCTCTCTGTAAGGAATTTTCACTTGTTTTGCCCCAGTTAGTGCACGTAGTCCTAGTCAGAGCAGACATTGGCAAAACTTCAGTCCCAGTCCTTCCTAGCTTAAAAAAAAAAAACAACAACCCAAAAAGCAAAGAAAAAGTGCTCAATTTTAACTTTGGGTAGTGCCAGCTACTGAATACTGACAGCAAAGTTGTCTGTATTTTTTTTTCTTTTTTTTGCTGACAGCAAAGCTGTCCTGTAACTGCTCCCTCCCCAGACCATATCTGATACACCTTGCTGTAATACGTAGCATGGAACGTATCGGAGGGCAGAGCATGTGTGTTGCTATTTGGATCTCTGTTCCTTGTGTTTCAGGCATCTGGTGTCGAAGGCTCAGATATTCCTGATGATGGCAAACTTATAGGATTTGCACAGCTCAGCATCAGCTAAACAATGGTCCCAGGAGATGTCTCCCAACTGAGAACCCACATGTGCATATTCGTAATGCTTCTGTTAGCCTAAAAAAAACCACTACTGCCAAAGAATTGAACTACAGCCCCCTTCCTAGAAGCTTTAACATTTTCCTTAACAGGATCACAAACCTTCCTGAAATTACCGATGGCGTTTACACCTTTTGTAAACAACTCTCATGTTTTTGTATTTGTCATCTCAAACATGCAGATCCAACACGTCATTGCCTGCATGTTCATTTTATTATGGCCTTACTTTAAAGAAAAATACTACTGAGTACGAAGCAGGGGGTTCCACTGCTCTGATGATCTTGCCTAAATATTTGCTTACATGTGGTTTCATTTTTTTTCACTTGCTATTTTTGCACAAGTTTTAATACTGAATGGATTTTTTTTTGTTCTTCACCTGCTTCTCCTCTCTGAAACACCAATGTACATGTTGTTTGGGTCACCTGGAGTGCTGAGAAATCTGCTTCTCTTTGGCTGTGTTTTTTTAAAACTGCTGGTTTGAATGCTTGCACCCGAGAAAGCAAGCCAAGTCTTAACCCACGGGAGGGAGAGCCTTCTTCCCTTGTGTTTGTGTTTTTGAGAAGTTTCTTGACTTTGAGGTGTTAGAAGTCAGCTTCCCTTTTGTAAACTGCCTTAATTTTATTTTTTTTTTTTACCATTTTGGTTCGCTCCACATGAGTGCCAGGCATGGCATGAGGGCTGAACCTTTTAATTTACGTTAAGCAGTCCTTCCTCAAAACGTCTTTCATTCTGCATCTTAGATGTAGTGTGTTCTTGAAGCAGACCAGTGAGGCATTGCTGTCTGGAAACTGGTCTTTCAGATGATCAACAAAATATACGTGGTCAGAGGGACTCTGTCACGCTGCGTTTGGAAAAGATGCACTTCGAACTGTTCCTGAAACCCAGGCTGTTATGCCTGGCTGCGCGAGTCCTACCCACGTCTTGTACCTGTGGAAACATCCCTGTCGTGTTTTACAGCAATAAAGAATCGCCAGTAGAGTGGTAGTACTGGGCAAGCGAGCGCCGGGCTGTGTCCCTCCTGCACTAATCGCTTGGGTCGTCGGCCTTCTCGTCGGTCCGAGCCTCGACGTTTGATCAGGATGTCACTGAAACCCTGTCACACACGTAGTTAGCTTTTATTTCTCTGTGGTGTTGAATTTGAGTTTCTACATGAATAATATAAATTATACTCTGAGTTTGATAAGAGACACTTGTAATGCAATATGTGAATAATAAATGGTGTTGATTTTTTTTCCCCCCTACTGTTTCACAGTTGGCCTTTGTAACTGCTATTGGCTCTGGAGTGTTTTCTACACAGAAATTGTAAGCCTGTAATTTAACACACAGATGGAAACGTGTTTGGTTTCCATCAGCCGCAAACAATGCAGAAACAGAGTGTTAAAGCGGAGTGACTGGGTTCAATTAGGACTTTTTTTTAATTTCCAAGTCTTCAGATGAACAATCTGTATTTATATGTTGTTCTCTATGAGCAGCTGTAGAAGCTTCCCGAATTGTGCGTGTTCTTTTTGTACCGCCCTTGTCGCTTTTAGCCTCTACGTGGATGTTGGGTATGTCCCCATGGGCTGTTTGCAGCCCTATGGCTGGTGAGTGTGAAGGGGAGGAAGAGGAGAAAGAGGATTTGGGAGTGAGATCATTCCAGGGTGCTGAGCAGATGCTCTCAAGAGCCCGGGAGGCGGGTGCCCGATACCAGGCAGTTGGTAGTGGCTGGGTTTGGCCAAGTGTGTGTGTGCATGTGCGTGTGGCACCTCTGGTGCTTTCTCCTGTTGTCTGACACAAAGCACTCCCTATGGCTTCCCCCATCGAGCTTCTTGGCTTGTGAAGATCAGGCTGGCATCTTGATTTTCATGTCACCCTGCGGTCGATATGGATGTATTGGTAACCCTTAGGATATGGAGACAAGGTAGCCTTGGTACAGTATTATTTTCCCTTCTGCCTGCATGCCATGGGGACCTCCTTGTTCATTTGTGTACTGGTGCTGAGAGAGGTAGGACTCAAAACTGCTCAAATGGAACAATGCAGTATCTATTTATGAAGTTATTCCCCACCTTCCCAAAGCCAGGACTTGGAGAGCTTGAGCTCACACTAACACGAGGCTCCTTAGGTCTTTAATGGAGAAAGTAAGTAAGGAAGAAACCGGTGGTTTTTGCTCTATAGATCTCCAGATGTTTTGGGTAGGGATCCAAAATATTTACTTGGGCTATTACAGTGCTAGACAACTGTCTCTTCTGATGTTGTTCCAGTAAGTGCCAATGCTGTTCATAATTGTTTTCCAGTGTCATTAAGAATTTGGTTTTTGTGCAAGTTTCTGATCTGAACCTGGAAGCAGGTGGTAATTTGAAGTTAGTTCCTACTTTTAAGGACAATGCTCTGTTAATGAAAACGGATCTTCTTCACAACTTTGGTGTATTGTAGATTATAATGAAAGATGTAAAATATTCAGGCTTTTTTCCTTTTTTGGACTTTGTATTTTACTGCATGTCTCTAATTTTTAATCAATAAAGAACAAATTGTCCATTGCCATGTGTTTTGGTGTGTGGTTTATGTGTCGCTGGGTTGGATGGTGTATCTTTGTCTGAGTGGTGTCTGTAACCCCTGGGGCATTTCAGTTTGGGCTGGTGGGAGGTTCGACAACCCCCAGGAAGACTCGGTGAGGAAGGGGTGGGCATGCTCTGCAGGAGTTGTGTGCAGAAACGGAGCCAGCAGGGCACTGAGGATTGTACCCTGAGGGCTTGTCTCCAGTTGAAAAGTTTGCTCCAAGCTCTGCGTGCCTCCACAGCCTGGGATCAGCTTCCCCTGGCCAGGAACACCTCAGGGGGACAGAGGCTGGTATTAAAGTGGGATGATTTATACCCTGAGAAGCATTTGGAGCATGAACTGCAGTTCCTCCTCTCTACCTCCACAATACCTGTTCTTTCTGAATTTGAAGATTCAGTGCAGATCTGATGCAGAGGTGCCTCTGAGGTCTCTCCTTTAGGTTTGTAGCAGACCCAGGAGTTCAAGAAAATGCACTGATGGTGAGCGGTAGAGCCCAGGATGTCATGATCCTGACATCTTGGCTCGAGCTGGACCGTGCTTCTCTGTAAGCATCAGTATCCCCAGCAGCATCATACTTGTGTGCCAGCGGTCATGCTTTAGGCTGCAGGAGCAAGGAGGTGCCTGAAGTGAAAGGTTTTGTCCAAGTATTCAGGTGACAAGACCTCTTGCTGTGAGATGGAAAACATGTCCATGACCTGGCACTGAGACACTGCCATGGCTGTGGAAGTAGATTTGTCATGGCAAGTGCTGCAGTCTGATGTCTCTTAAACTGAGTGAGCATCTGGGCAGCTTTCTCCAGTCGTTGTCATCCTTTATTGACAACCTTGGCTGCAACCTTTTAGTGTCATCTAATGTCATGCAAAAGAGAAGTGCCTGGTTTGCAAACAGACTGCCTGACTTCCCCCTTGGAAAGCCAACTCTGAAGCACTGTACTGGAGGATTTTCCTTCACATCCTTCAATATTTCTTCCAACAAAGGAAGGAGATTTTCCAAAATGAAGGGGAATGTTACCTGAGAAGTAAAAACCCTTAATATTTCTCACTGGAGGTCCTTTTGGAAACTTTACCCTAATGTATGGCTTCTGTTCCTAAGGTGTTCATTCAAACTCTGGCAGCTTTGTTGACATGTTTACCCAGACCTTAGTGGGGTTTTGTTTGAGTGAGGTCATGGTGTCTCCATGAAGAGAAGCAGAAGGAGTCTTCCTGCTCAGTGTGTGGGAATGGAGAAGTTTCTCTAAAGCTTCAGGGATTTTCAAGGGTAAGGTGTGTGTCTCTTGGGAGGGGATAGGGATGGTCCAGTCATAGGCATGTTCCCCAGGCCTTCTGGCTGGGATGCACCCATCTGTGTTTGTTTGAAAATATGCATGTTTGGGCTTAAAAACATGCCCCCCCCCCCCCCGAAGTCGTGGTCTTGAATGGTTGCACTTTCTAAGCTGCCTCTTCCATTCACTCTCCTCTCTAAGGCTCTTGGGCTTAGTTTGCCATTTTCTGCCTCTCGATTTCTCTTAAAGTGTTCCTCTTTACTCATAGACCAGAAAACTTTATCTTGGGTGAATGTAACTTCCGAGTTTAAGACATGGATGGTAAAGAACGTTCTGTGTTGCTGAATCTCATCCCCTGCATCTAAGCCAGCTTCTTTGCATACTTTCCGGTCTTTGGCCAAACTCTGCTTAAAAAGCCCCAGGGAATTATATTCCAGTTTTGTCTCCCATTCCTGCCTCTGTGGGAAATCCCTTCATGGACACTGCTAAAGGCTTTCCAGCTGCCTTAGTGCGGTGCCCTCCTATGGCTGACTCATCCACCCAGTTGCCTTCAGCCTTGGATGTGGCCTTCCAGGACTTCAAGGGGGCTTATAAGAAAGATGAGGACAGACTCTTTAGTAGGGCCTGTAGTGACAGGACAAGGGGTAATGGTTTTAAACAAAAAGAGGGCAGATTTCGGCTAGATATAAGGAAGAAATTTTTCACCATGAGGGTGGTGAAACCCTGGCCCAGGTTGCCCAGCGAGGTGGTAGATGCCCCATCCCTGGAAACATCCCAGGCCAGGTTGGACGGGGCTCTGAGCAACCTGCTCTAGTTAAAGATGTCCCTGCTCACTGCAGGGGGGTTGGACTACATGGCCGTAAATGTCCCTTCCAACCCAAACTATTCTATGATTCTGTCTCCCTTTGTGGGAGCTCACCACGAGGCGTCTTATACTGCCCATGCCTCTGGGCTTCTCTGCTCTTCTTACGGCATCCCAATCACCTCGCAATCTCTCCTCCCAGCTGATGAGTTTCCCAATGGAAATTAACCTCCCCTGGAGGGTGCGCACCTCCTGGAATTTCTGTTTCACATAATGGGAACGCATTGTGAGTACAAATCCCAGCTGGGAGCATTGCTTTTTCTTCAAATTTGCATACTCGCTGTGGCTGCCTACAGGGCTTATCTTGGGCTTAAGTACCGGTCCCAGCCGCGGAAAGCCTGTCTCTGCAGATACTGCTGCTGGTGTCAGGCTTCGGGGAAATTTTGAGGCAGCTGGTGGTTTTGGGCCATTTCAGAATGGCTGGTTCTGCTCACCTTGTTTCCCTGCCTCAGTGTGGCTTTCCACCAGTTTTGCCAACTTTTTGTGTTTCCATACGTGCCACATCACTGTGACACCAGCTGCATCCATGCCATCGGCCCCAACCTGACCGAGGAAGAGCAGCTGAACCTCACCCTGCCCCGGGACGTGGACGGGGCGTACGAGCAGTGCTCCATGTACTCACCGGTGGACTGGGACCTTGGCTCCATCGTGGCGCACGGCCTGAAGGCCACGGAGAAGTTCAGCAGTGGCTGGGTGTACCCCTCAGACCATGAGGTGATGCTGGTCACTCAGGTTTGTAGCATCCTTTTGTTTCCCATTGGTTTGTGCTCTGGTAAGTGGTGTTTTGAAGGCTGGGGTGTCTGGAGGCGATGCTCTTTCTGTACTTGGGCTTTGGTGCACAAGATCTTCCCCAGTTGCAGCAGATTGATTCCTCCTGGCCTTCACCATGGAAAGGTATGTCATAGGCATGTGCCCTGGCCAGGTCCTGAGGAGATTGTCTCGTCCGAGAGATGGGACTTGACTCCAATCAACTATTGCTGCCTCCTCACCTGTTGTTGGAAACCTCCAGCAATGGGTTCCTGCTTTTTGCGTTGGTCCAGGGCCTCGGTATCCTCCAGCCTCCTGTAAATGGGATGCCCAGCTCAGGCTGTCAGAGCAGGATGGACCTCATTTCAACTTTTATAAGTTCTGGCAGTATTTTGGTCTGGCTCCTGCTTCTCCAGATCCATGGGACCCATGACTGGTGTCTGACTGAACCTCCCAGACTTCCCCATTTAAACCATGACAGAGAAGAGTGGATGAGGCTGCTTTGTGCCCTGGACTCCTAGCATGGAGCCAGGAGACAGCCAGGGGAGATGGCAGGATCAGGCCTGGGAAAGGCTCCTGAGCTCCTGGCCGTGCATGATTGCTTTTAGCAAGGTTTGCCTTGTCCTGTCTCCTGCCAATAAAGCAGAGCCCAAGGTGAACAGGGGCACCTCAATTTCACTCTCCCTCTGACTTTCCTAATTGACTTGAACAGACCCAATTTGTGTTGTCCAGCACCTCTGCCTGGATCAGTGTCTGCCTGATTATCTTTAGTACTCCCTGTTTGTGGCTGCTGAGCTGGGCTTATCCCGAGGGCAGCATCTCTCCTCCAACTGCTTAGGGGTCTAGTGTACCTCCAGGTTTGACCCATGTGGGTGCCCTGGTCAACCAAATGGGGCAGCCATGGTCTGGTTTCCATCATGCTTGTATAATGCTCTTCCCACTGATCTGTGGGCAGGAGAAGGAGCCTCCAAGTTGCTTTTGGGCAACTTTTGAGGCTTTGCATAATGGACAACCCAATCATCCCATCCCATTTGCCATGGACCTAGGCAAATACTGTTGCCACATCAGGGATGGGCTGAACAGACTTGGTTTCATATTCTCAATAATCATTTTAAGGCCGGAAGGCATTTGAGATGAGATTTGCCAAACCTGCCTCAAGTGGCATTGCCCTGTGTCAGATTTCTCCCATCCCTGTATGCCTTCCCCAAGTCTTCCCTGCATATAGCCCTCACCAGCCTGGGCTGTGGCCCAGAACTGGTGGGAAGGGTGGTCATCTCGTATGTGGCTTGCTCGTGGTTGCACTGGGAAGCTGCAAAAGATGAAGGAAATTGTGTCTCCCATTGCCTGGGACTGCAGCCAACTGGCCGCCCTTCCTCATCTCCAGCTCTGCCCATCCATTAGCATCACTCCCTTTATTCCCCTGGACTTTTCCCAGCTCTGCATCATGCTGAGCTGTCTTGGCCCCTCTGAACCTCGCTTTCCCAAGTGGAACTGCTGGGGACTGTCTCAGTGGTTCAGCAAATGCAGCCCTTGAAGTTGCTTTGGAGAAGAGTCTTTTCCCCTGTCAATGCCACCTGGCCATGGTGGAGGGGGTGATCAGGTTGCCTAAAACAAGGGTCCTCTGCTCCAGCCAGCAGCAGGCACAGTATGTTTGTGGGTGGCACAGAAATGTTTAATGTATTACATGGTGTACTTAGGACAGGTAAAACATCAGGCATTAAGTCTATCCTGACTTTACATATTTGTGGTGGCTGCCTACTGCTGCAGAGCTTATCTTAGGTTTAAACATTAATTCCAGCCCTCTGGAAAGTTTGTCCCAGCACTGTCCTGTTCCAGACACCGCTGCCAATGTCAGGTGTTGGGGTAATTTTGAAAGCGGTTGGTGATTTTGGGCCATTTCAGAAATGGCTGGTTCTGCTCACCTTGTTTCCCTGCCTCAGTGTGGCTTTCCACCAGTTTTGCCAACTCTTTATGGTTCCACACAAACATTAATTCCAGCCCTCTGGAAAGTTTGTCCCAGCACTGTCCTGTTCCAGACACCGCTGCCAATGTCAGGTGTTGGGGTAATTTTGAAAGCGGTTGGTGATTTTGGGCCATTTCAGAAATGGCTGGTTCTGCTCACCTTGTTTCCCTGCCTCAGTGTGGCTTTCCACCAGTTTTGCCAACTCTTTATGGTTCCACACATGCCTCATCACTGTGACACCAGCTGGATCCGTGCCATCGGCCCCAACCTGACTGAAGAAGAGCAGCTGAACCTCACCCTGCCCCGGGATGCAGACGGGGCGTACGAGCAGTGCTCCATGTACTCACCAGTGGACTGGGACCTCAGCTCCATTGTGGCGTACGGCCTGAACGCCACAGAGAAGTGCAGCAGTGGCTGGGTGTCCCCCTCAGCACAACCGCCGTCCCTGCTGACCGAGGTCTGTAATCGCTTTTTGACGTGCCGGGGACGTGGAAGGGATGGGACACCCAAACAGCTTCCCTGTCCTGCAGTCCAGTCAAAGCTGGTGCCGGCCATGGTGCAGCTGAGCTGGGCTGAGATTTACATCAGGTCTATTTTGGGGACCTTGGCTCCACCACCCAGCCCCCAGGCGCGGTCCTGGATGGGTTGCATGCAAGCAGGCTGCAATGTAGATGCCAGCGGGGCCACGGGCAGAGCCAGCACAGAGATGAATCACTCCTGGTGGGACGTTCTGGGTCTCCCTGCCCCAGCTGCTCCTCTGCAGGCTTGTCTCTATGCACAGCTTGGCGCTTCGGACGCCCTGGCTGGGGGAAGGACGCAGAGCTCAGCGCTTGGTTTCTGCTCCCACTGGAGCTGGGGACCTGTCAGGGGTGTCTGCCTCAGGGTCTCGGTGTTGCGACTCCACCTCAGGGTTGTTGCAAACAGCCTGGATTCCTCACCGTCCTCGCTCTGTGCAGAGGTACCAGTTCTGGCGAGGAGAGAAAAGCTTGCAAAGCCACGCACCTAATGGTCAACAAGAGCTTCAGCAACACCAACAGTGCCCCAGTGGGCAGTGCTAAACTTCTTTCAGAGCTTTCTGACCTCTCTGTATTTCCTATACATGATCTTCCCTATGTGACTCTCTCTATAGATGCCCTCTGGGTGCTGGCAGTTGCAGAACATCTCTTTAAGAGAAACTGCTTGGCCCAGGGATCAGCATTGCACTCATCTTTTTTCTTCTGGGAGGGCAGGCAGTATGGAAGGAAGCAAGCTGCTGGGACTTCTGTCCCAAGTCCCACTTTAAGCAAAATTTGCCAACCAGAAGGGTCTCCTAGGGGTGCCTGGGCTGTGGGGGAGTCCTGCAGGTCCCAGTGCTCAGGAGGGGGGCACCACTGAGTACCCCATGGGCTTGTCCCACCTCTGACTTGTGTGCTAAGTGCATACCATGGAGACTCACAACCTTGGAGGTGGGATCAGAAAGCATGTGGAGCCTGTTGAGAACAAAAGTGTCTGTGTTTCCTTCCTCCAGTTTGACCTGGTGTGTGACAGGAAGGACCTGAACGACATCTCCCAGTCTATCTACATGCTGGGGCTCTTCCTAGGATCCATGATCTTTGGGCCACTAAGTGACAGGTGAGGAGACACAGCCACCCATCCAGGTCTGTGCAAAGCTGGCGGTGCGCAGAGTGGCGTGCTGCTCCGAGCCTGGCAGGGCACTGCACCCCGTGCGTTTTGTCACCGCTCCTCACTAATAGGGACCCTGACCAAAGTCCTCAGGTCCCATGAGGACATGGCCACAGAGGGGGTGGAAGGGGCAAGGGCACAGTGTGTGCGCAGCATGCTTCACGTGTCAACCCAGAGTCTAGTCTGAGCCTTTTCACTCTCCAGTGAGGATGATACAATCGCTGTGTAACCCATTGGGCTCTTCCCCATCTCCATGGGGTCTCTCCAGATACCAACTATGTCTTCCCTCTTCCTCCACAGGATTGGACGCCGGCCTGTCATTCTGATCTCCATCTTCCTCCAGGGCTTGTTTGGTGTAGGAATTGCCTTCGTGCCCCATTTCTATGTGTACATGGCCTTTAGATGTGTTGTGGGGGCTTCGGTGTCAGGGGTCACCATGACGATACTGGCCTTAGGTGAGTAGGATGCCCATGACCAGAGGCAGACCAGATGTGGCCTCTCAAGATGCCATAGGAAAGGTCTGCAAAGAAACAAAAATCATCTTGTATGACTTGAAAAACGCCGTGGTGAGGACAGTTCTTGCTCTGCACTGTCCTTTGGCACTTTGGCATCTCCTCAACCCTGAGTGAGAGCCATGGGCAGCATCTCTCCCATGCCAATGCTCAGAGGAGGGCAAGGGAACAGCCTCCCAGCTCAGGAGGTCAGTGTGGGGAGGGAGCCCAGTGGCTCTGGGTCATGATTGATTTGGGCTCCAGCTCTGCCCCGGTGAGGAGCTCTGTGGATGCTGAGAGCAAAGAGGTGACATACCTGAGCTTCATGTCCTCTTGCAGAGGACCAGGACACCCTGATGATAAGGAGAGGTGAAGAACCTGAAGAAACACTAGTGACTTGCATGTGTGACTGATGCCAGAGCTCTGACTGCCAGTCTCCTCTCCTCACCTCCAGGAGACTTATTCTCCAGGGGAAACAGCCTGTTTCCATCAGAGGAAATAATGTGCATGGATGAATCTGAAACCTCACTTTTCTTTTCAGCTACAGAATGGGTTGGTGTCTCTTCTCGGCCAAAGGCAGTGCTTATTTCTCACTGCTGTTTCGCCATTGGACAGATGCTTTTGGCTGGCTTGAGTTATGGTATTCGCAACTGGAGGCTGTTGGAGATTGCAGGATCTGCTCCTGTATTTGCCTTTTTCTTCTACATCCAGTAAGTGGAACATGGACAGAGCTCCTTGCAGACAGGACAGCAGAGAGTGTGAGGGGTGGCAGTGATGAGCTCAGGAGGAGGTTGGTTCACATCAGAGTGCAGGTGCTGGAGGGGCTTCTGCAGAGCTCAGCTCATCTCCCTGGAGCACTGGACCTCTGAGAGCAACAGCTGCTTCACTT